ACAACATCAAAATGATCATGCTTGTTTCCAAGATAAAGTGCATGCTCTGTTGTTGACTGCAGATTGAAGCTTGCGGGATAGGTCAACCATTCCATGGAGTGACCAGCTTTTGTGTGGATGAGGATGTCGCAACTCAGCAGATTCGCTGTGGCCATGATCTCTGCATCAGTTGCCCAGACTCCATCATGAGAGATGCCAGAAGTGCTCACATATTCACTATCATTTCGGTTCAAGTAGTCCTGTAGTTTCTCTGTCAAGTCAGTGTTCATGTGGTGGATGACTTTGTTTCTAAGAAGGGAGTGGTTGTCCTCTGATCCTGTCAGGATGTAGCTGATGGCCCGGAAGTAGCAGTTCCCATCACCTTTGGTTTTATACATACGCCGTGGATGCCCAAGCTCCCTTGTGCGTCCACAGTACACAATTTTTACAAATGAAAGGCCAAGAGTGGTGCTAAGATACTTTCTTACAGAACTTGGTAGTGGGTTAAAAGTCTTCATCCGCTGGCGTCTCTGTGAGATGTTGATGTCATCATTGTCTGGTCCCTCACGAGGTCTTTTGAGTGTCTTCTGCTTCAGGCTGTCATTTGCAGAGTCACTAGGATAATCATCATGGGACTTGGGTGCCTTCGTTGGCCTGAGTCCTGTGGGTCTCTGGGTCAGGTTATAAGTGGGGTGTCCTCGGTATTGGGGCTTCCCAAGAGTAAAAGGCAGCGCCTCTGGCAACAGAAGGTGGTTCTCTCTGGTTACTGGGGAAGTATCTCTCTTAGTAGGAAAAGACAGCAGCCCCAGAAAGCAGGCTTGGGGGGGTTAATCTGGCCTGGGGGGGTTATTCTAGCCTAGGCCAGAGTAACCCCGGGGTTTCTCTGGCCGGGGGGTGAATGGGGGGGTAACCGGGGGGTGAATCTGGCCTGTTACAGCCGGCCAGATTAACCCGGGGTTACTCTAGCCTAGGCCAGAGTAACCCCGGGGTTACTCTGGCCGGGGGGTTAATCTGGCCTGTTACACCCGCCCTCCTAGGCAGGCCTCTGTTGTTTGCTCCCCTTCATTTAAAGCCCTGTGTTGGTTGTCTCCTTCCCCTTATGGTGTCAGTTTAAAGCCCTCTTAATTAATCTCCCCAGGTTTCTGCCAAACACATCCTTCCCTGACCTTGACAGGTGAAGCCCATTGCGTGCTAGTAGGCTGTTGTCCAGAAAAGCGAGCCCACGGTCCCAGAATTCAAATCGCTCCTGCTGGCACCAGCAAAGCAGCCAGCGGTTCGCCTCCATTACCATCTGCTCCGGTCCTATTCCCCTTCCTATGACAGGAAGGATTGAGGAGAACGCCACCTGTGCCCCCGTTCCCTTCAGCTTCCTCCCCACAGCTTCATAGTCAGCCTTAATGTTTTCAGAGTTGTTAGTGGCTGTGTTGTTGGTAGGGATCCCAAGTCCCCCTGGGGGGCAGGGAAACCTCCACTCCAGAGTCCCGCTCCCCGGCGGCGCCGGATCGGGCCCCAGGGGGAACTCCGCCCCGATGTGTGCGTCACCCAGAAGTGACGCGGGCACGCGGGGCACACTGGGGGTGGGGCCACGGCCATACAAGGGAAAACTCTATGGTTTTCCCTTGTATGGCCGTGGCCCCGTCCCCAGCATGCCCGGCATCCTCCCGTCACTTCCAGGTGACGTGTGTGCGGTGTGTGTGCGTACAAGGCACTGGCTGGGAGGCCCCCGCTCCCGGCGAAGATAGACTTGGGAATCCTAGTTGTTGGTTCCAACATGGACCATCACAAATGGGTAATGCTCCGTAGTTTTGATGAGTTTAGGGATCCTGCCGAAGCAACTGTTAATTTTTTTTTACAGCCCATCAAATCTCCAATGGTCAGTCAGAGACCCTGCTGGGCAATAGGCCCGCCTGGCCCTTCCCGCTTCCTAAGAACACTTGGTAAGCCCCCAGGAAAGGTGTTGGTGGGTGCCACGGCTCTCAGGGGCACTCCGCTGGGGAACCCTACCACAGGCAGTCTAGGCAGGACCTCATTGTGCCTTTGGCACATGACCAAGGCATGACACACCCCTCACACACGGGCCCACACAGGCTCACACATAGCTTGCCTGGCACGGAAGCTGGCTGGGTGACCTTGGGCCAGTTGCCCTCTCTCTCAGCCTAAACTGCCTCACAGGATTGTTGGAGTGAGAATAAAATGGAGGGGACTGATGTAAACCCATTTGGGTACCCAATGGGGAGAAGGGCACGGTATAAATGAAGTAAATAAGTGAGGAAATTCCTCCCAGGAAGGTTTGCTTGGTGATCTTTGTCTGCGTTGAAGTTCTCAGCCTCCCTTAAACATGAGGGTGTGTTTGTGAAATTCTCATCCAGGAAATGGGTCTTGGAGTGAGCGATTCGGCTGCTGCATACATTGGTTTGCTCTGGCGCCATCCTTCCTGAGCCAAGTCAAAAATGTGTGAGACGGAGGCTAAAAAACTGTGAGCTAGCTCACACTGACGCAGCTTAGAAGGAACACTGCTCCCTGGTGTTCTTGCAGGGTCACCAACTCACACATTCGGAGATAAGATGCATGAGATTCGGCATGGACAAATTGCCCAATACACAACTTAACTTTCAAGTCTCAAATGGCCGTGGCCCCGCCCCCAGCATGCGACGTCACTTCCGGGTGACGCGCACGCTGGGGTGGGGTTTCCCCCGGGCCCGATTTTCGTCGCGTCGAAAATCGGGCTGTCAAAGCGGGGGATTCCCCACCCCCCAGTGCCATTTGGCAACCCTATTGCCAACTCAGGTTTGGGAAATTCCTGGAGATTAGGGAGTGGAACCTGGGGAGGGGGGGGGGGAGAAACCTCAGCAGGGGGTCATTCCAGGCTTCGAAGCAGCTGCTTCCTCTGGGGGGGGGGATGGAGCTCTGTCATCTGGACACCAACAGCTTTTTACGACTACAACACATGTAACAGAGTGCAGGGGAGGTTGGACTAGATGACCTGCAAGGTCCCTTCCAACTCTAACATTCCGTGATTCTATGATTCTAACCGTTCCGAACAGAAAAGGTTCAAAACGGAAGATTGGGGCTTTAATGTGTTTTTGTCTCCTCACAGGAAATGGAAGAATTTGTCCAGAGCTCAGGGGATCATGGCATTGTGGTCTTCTCTCTTGGGTCAATGGTTCAGAATTTAACAGATGAAAAGAGTAACATGGTTGCCTTGGCACTCAGCCAAATTCCACAAAAGGTCAGTTCCCTGGATGCCTGTTTCATTTACTTTGATCAAAAACAGGGGTCATTTCGTAGAAAAAGAGGTGCAGGAGCTCATTAGCGCAACTCATTGGCACAACTTATTTTCATATGCCACACCCCCTGCCATCACCGGAAGTGTGTCAGACGGCAGCACCCACCACTCAGGCTCCACCCCAAAAATCTCCAGGTATTTCCCAACTCAGATTCAAACCTGGGTCTCCCAAATCCTCATCAGGAACACTAACCACTACACAACACTTCACGGGGCGGCGGCTGTTGAGCAGCAGCAAGCAGCTGGGCCTGCATGACTTGTGCAAGTGGCATGGTGTCCAGTTGTCCAGTGGCTGCTGCTAGGCCTGACGCACTCTCTCCCCTCACATTCCCTGACAGAAACAAATGCTTGAAGGCTGGAAATACTGCTGTGGTTGACAAACAAGGGCCACCAAGAGAACTCCTTTCGAATCGCTACAGGTGCCGCTTCTGTTATGGGTGAGGGTTGACCCAATGCATTTTCAGCTGCCATCGATGATGGACGGCCGTTGGCTAGGTACTTCCCTACAGGTCCCTACTGGTTCGAATCACCAGAATATTTTGATCTTGTCAGCCCAAAACATCTTCATGAGAAAACCTTCTTCGCTGAGGAAGATCCGGACCAGATCGGGGACTGTCTGCGCAGGGTCTCCATATAGGGGATAGTGATCCTCCCCAGTTGCGGGGGGTGGGGGGGCAATTGCCTTCCCGTCAATGAAGGGAGCATGCCACCACTGCAGCGCGACTCCAGAGAGGGGGGATTTAAACTTTAAACCCCCTCAGTCTTTGGAGTCGCTCCACAGAGGCAGCATGCTCCTTCCAGACGTTTCTTCCTGGCAGCACTGGCCTCGCTGTCATGCAGAAGCTTCTGCTGGGTTCCCTTCCCCCCCCTTCCCTTCGACCCACTTGGAGGTGAGGTGAAGGGAAAGGAGGGGGGAGGAGTTTACTTATTACTCCCGGAATGCCATTCCTGTCCAT